TTTCTAGTTACCAATTAATCTAGAGAACATTTTTTGTTTTAAGATTTTATTTTATTTTATTTTTTTGTCAGAGAGAGACACAGCGAGAGAGGGAACAGAAGCAGGGAGCCTGACATGTGGCTTGATCCTAGAACCCCAGAATCATGATTTCCAAGCTGAAGGCAGACGCTTAATGACTGAGCCACCTAAGGTGCCCCTAGAGAACAATTCTTTAAAAAAAGTAGTAGACTTACAGGAAAATTTCAGAAGACTGAGGAATTAGTGGGTGATACGAGATTAGAGCCAGACGACAGATTAATACTGAAACACAGAGAGACAGAGAAAAGACTAAGAGACATGGAGAAGACCAAGCAGAGACATTAAGGAGAGAACAAGAGACAGAACAGTCAGATAGCATGAGAGATAGTGAAGCACTCAGACTGAAAGATAACAACAGATGCTGAGAAGGAAGAGTGAGCAGAACAGAGTCAGAGACAGAAAAAGACAAAAGGACACATATAAGAAAGAGAAAGTAAAAGTATAATCACTTTGTCGGTGTTGGGTAAAGAGGCTGTGTGAAGGTCTATAGACAAAGATAAAAAAAGCTAACTGAGAGGGAAAAAGGAAGACATCAGCAAGAGAGAAGACCAATGTGACTAACGAAGCAACATTCCAGAAAAGGTGGGGAGGAAGGGTTCAAGAAACAGTATGAGTCAATACTCACAAGGTTGTTTAAAACAAAAAGTAAGAATGCTGAGGGGCGCCTGGGTGGCTCAGTGGGTTAAGCATCTGCCTTTGGCTAAGGTCATGACCTTAAGGTCCTGGAATTGAGCCCCAAATCAGGCTCCCTGCTCAGTGGGGAGTCTGTTTCTCCCTCTCCCTTGCCCATCCCCTCTGCTTATGTTCTTTCTCTCTCACACACTCTCTTAAATAAAAAAGTAAGAATGCTGAAAAAACATACAATAAATAAACATTAATCAAGGTAAATAATAAAGTAAAGGTCAGATGCTGCAATTCAATGGAACACTACCAAGCAAAGAAAAAGCTCGATAAATATTTTTTTAAAAAAAGCAGTATTTGTCAATCAGTATCAACCTCAGCTTCAGTGTAGTTCTGCTGAGCTATCATCAGTCTAAATGCAAAGAAGATATGCTCATTACATTTGTAGCCTTAGATTTCAACTGTCTACTTAACCATCCACAATTGTGGATGTGATTGTGTGGCTACCTCATCATTCAGCTAATCAAAGTTAAGTGCTGTATTCAGCAAACACTTCCTTCTCCCTTATCCCCCAAATCCAGCCATTCTTCATATAGCAGCAAAAGTGGTTTTTGCCCCTGTCTCTTTAAAACTGAGATATATATTAGTTTCAGGATTACAACATAATGATTTGATGTTTTTATATGCTGCAAAATGACCTCCATAATAAATCTAGTTAACACCTATCACTATACAGTTACATATATTTTCTTGTGATAACTTTTACTCTTTCTGCAACTTTCAAATATACAATATAGCATTTTAAATTATAATCACCATTCTGTACATTACATCCCCATGACTTATTTTAAAACTGAGAGTTTGTACCTTTTGACACATTTCATCTACTTTGCTCACTTTCCACCCTCTCCCTCTGGCAACCACCACCTATCAGCCATAGCTATGACTTTTATTGTTTTTGGATTCCACATATAAGTCAGATCACTAAGTATTTTTCTTTCTATGAATTATTTCACTTAGCATAATGCCTTCAAGGTTTATCCATGTTGTTACAAATGGCAAGAGTTCCTTCCTTTTTATGGCTGAAGACTACTCGATTGTATATACACACACATTTTCTTTATCCATTCATCCACTGATGGAACTGGTTGCTTTCATGTCTTGACTATTGTAAATAATGCTGCAATAAACATGGGGGTGCATTTATCTTTTCAAATGTTTTCATTTTCTGTGGATAAATATCTGAAAATGGAACTGCTGGATCACACGGTAATTCTATTTTTAATTTTTGAAGATCCCCCATACTGTTTTCCATAGTGACTGCATAAATTTACATTCCCAAAAACCAGGCACAAGGATTCCTTTTCACTACACCCTCAACAACACTTGTTATTTCTTGTCTTTTTAATAATAGCCATTCTGACAGGTGTGTGGTGATATCTCATTGTGGTTTTGATTGGCATTTCCCTGATGACTGGTGATGTTGAGCATTTTTTCATGTACTATTGGCCACTCGTATTCCTTTTTGGAAAAATGTCTATACAAATCTTCTGTCCATTTTTTAAAAGATTTTATTTATTTATTTAACAGACAGAGATCACAAGTAGGCAGAGAGGCAGGCAGAGAGAGGGGAGGAAGCAGGCTCCCCGCTGAGCAGAGCCTGATGTGCGGCTCGACCCCAGGACCCTGGGATCATAACCCGAGCCAAAGACAGAGGCTTAACCCACTGAGCCATCCAGGAGCCCCTGTTCTGTCCATTTTTTAATTGCACTTTTTTGTTTTGTTTTGCTATTGAGTTTTTTAAAATATTTATTTATTTATTTGAGAGAAAGAGAGAAAATGAGAGAGACTACGCACAGGGGCAGAGGCAGAGGGAGAAGCAGACCCCTACTGAGCAGGGACCCTGGGATCATGACCTGAGCCAAAGGCAGCGGCTTAACCAACTGAGCCACCCAAGCACTGCTCCTACTGAGTTCTTTATACTTTTTGGATATTAAACCCTTATTGGATATGTGCTTTATAAATACTTTCTCCCACCAATAGTTACTGCCCATGTTTTCTTCTAGGAATTTTATGCTTTTGGGTCTTATGTTGAAGTCTTTAATTAATTTAGAGTCAGTTTTTGTGTATGGTGTTAAGGCAGTGGTCTAATTTCATTCTTTTATATGTGACTGTCCAGTTTTCCCAACATTTGTTGGAAGAGACTATCCTTTCTCCATTATATAGAATAACTGATCATATATGCATGGGTTTATTCCTGGGCTCTCTACCAAACTGATTTTTTGAAATGTGAAAAGATCCCTTCAGTGGCTTCCTTCTGTATTTAGGATATAATCTAAACTTTTAACCCAGAGACCAATAAGGCTCTAATTCTGACTCCTGCTCTTTCTCTCTCTCTTTCTCTCCAATTGCATCTCTAGCTACTTTACATACTACTTACTATCAGTCCAGTCAGACTGGTGTTCTTCCAGTTGTTTCAGTTCACCAAGCTTCTAAGTCACTTTGAAGACTACAAATGCAGGTCCTGCTACCAGGAATAATCATCCCCTATTCCATTCTTTCTGTTTCTTCAGATCTCAGCTTGAATTTCACTTCCTCAATGAAAACTTCCTTAATATCCCTTCATCCAAACTGAAGAAAACTGGGCTCCTTCCTATGGAATCTCATAAGCATTCTGTGTTCTTCATTCATAGCATTTAATCATAATTTGGTATTATTTATTGGTGTACTTTTTTGTTCAATGTCTAACTCCCCTAGAAGGGTACCCTATTGTAGGCACCAAGAGGACAGAGACAGCTAAATCTCCAAGTGCCTTGTAACAACACTTTAAGAACATTCTGCTTTTTGATAAAAGAGTGGAAAAAAATATCCAAAGAATGGCTAAGAAATCTAAACAAAGTACCATCTCCAGAAAACCGAGCAATGTGTTAGTAATTAGAAGGGACATTATAAAACTCGGCAATCAAATTAACTCAAAAATTAGTCGAGTTCCTATTATATACCACTGTAGTGGATGCTGAGGATGCAGTTACAAACAACAGTCTATGCTCAATAAATCGAAATTGTTTAAGAACACAAAACCTGAAATATAAACTCCTTAAAGTCTCAAAAAATAAATACTTGTTGGCTTTAACAGACAATTCTATTGGTGGGACCAGCCCAAAGTATTCTGTTTTCAGTTGTTTACCAAAATGTTAGTGAAAATTATTAATTTAGTGAAAGGGAGAAATCACTATTCCAAGCTTCAATTTCCAGATTAGGAGATCTAGGGGAATGAGTCTTTATGCCAGAAAATTTATTAACAGTAGCAGCAGCAAAGATAATGACACTCACATGGGTTTTTGTGAAAGTTAGTAAAGGGAAACCTAAATAAAATGGAGTCTGGAGGTTCTGCAGGGGTTAGCTCTTATGCCCTACCACTCGCAGCTAATAGCAGACCCAAGAGGAAGAGACAGACTTGACCTTACAAGGACTTGACCTTGCATGTAGATACTACTCTACTAGTTCAGCTGAGGAACAGATGCTTTTTTATTCCCCCCATGTACCCTTGCCTTCAGCAGCTCTACCAATGAGAAGCCACAACACTTCAAATCCTCAGTTTACCCCAATGAACTTTTAGTTCCTACCAGCCTACCCAACTTACCCTTTTTCTCCTTAAAAAAAGCACATCTCTCCTTTGTTCTTTCTTTCTGACTTGTCTATGGTTTTGTTTTGCCTTACCTTGTCTGTCCAGGACTGTAGGTTTTTTAATTCCCAAATAAACCCATATTTTGCTGGCAAAATAACTGGCATGTCTATTTTTAAGGTTAACATTTCCTTGGACAACCAAGTTAATGTCCATGTACTACTGCTAAACTAGTCGTAATATATTTCAAAATAAGACACTGAGAGTTAACAAAATAGAGGCTCTTTTTACACTGTAGAGCAGGGGGGACTAAGGGCAAGAGATTTAACTTGCTTTGCTCCTTCAGACAAATAATTTCATCTCTCTGGGTCACACTTTCCACAACTTTAAGATCAGAGGTTTGGGCCATATCCTCTGTAAGAATTCCTGGACCTCTAGTAATATCTCACAATACAATTATGTGGGAAAATAAACATGAAACTAAAATGCTCCCTGGTGCTAGAAAGATAACAAATAAAGTAAGTATTTTTCCTTTAAGAAATATTCAAAATCAAATATTCAAACATGATAAAGATGTTCTATACTGAACAAAAGTGACAAAATTGAAATTTTACTCATTCTTTCTTGCATTAAAATATCTGACATTAAATTTCAACCAGTCAATAATGATGCTCACCGATACTGATATGTCCTCGTTTTTTCTCTTAACACTGGAGTCAAACAAGACATTTCTTCCCCGTCTTTCACAGTCTTGATATACAATCAGTCGAATTTGACTTGGATCAAACTCTGGCAAAGGCCAACTTTAAAGAAAAATAAAGGCCCATTAGTTACTCTAGAAAATATTCTACATAAATTCCTAGAAATAAAACCTAATAAAATAAAACCCTAAGTTGTATTACTACTAAAGAATATACGGAAGTACTTTTTATAAATTATCACATTTAGGACTAAAAACTCATATAGCAATGATATTCTAAATTAAAAAGTAAAAATAAAAGTTGTAGCAAGTGTATACAATATAGTCAACCCATTTGAATCTAAAAATGGTTAACCTAATAAAAATATGTGACTATATTTAATACAATGAAAATACACATTGCTTCATGGCATGAACCCAGATGGCATAATATTAATCCATATTTTTAGACAGTTTTGATTCTTTATATAGAAACATAAAAAAGAAACAGCTTTCAGATTAAATAATAGCAGCTAAAGTATTTGTAAAACAAAAACAAGTAAAAAAAAAAGTGATGAATGACTAAATGCAGTGGAAATTCTCACATAAAGCTGGTGTGAGTAAAAACTGGCTCACTCTTTTTAGAGAATAGTTTTTTAAATCTATATAATAAATAGACAAAATCTAATATAACTGATTTTTAAGTTGTATTTTTAATATATTTTAATTATATATTAATATTTTAAATATTAACTAATTATATAATTAATACAATTATATAATTAATTATATTAATATAATTATGATAAATATAATTATATTAATTAATTTAATATATTTTTAAAGTTATCCATTCCATTCCATTCCATTGTATCAGAATCTTCACAGAAGTACTGTTACTGTTATGGAAACATTACAAATGGTTCATCAACAGTAGAATGGATAAATATGTTATGGTATATTCAGACTACAAATATATATATTCAGACGTAACAAATACAATGAACGAACTTCAAATATACACAAAAATGCAGACTGACCCTGACCAAAAGAAATCTGACAATGACATACTCTCACATACACAAGACACATACGCACCCAGAGTTACTATATTTTTCCACTTATACAAAGCTTTAAATCAGGTAAAGTTTATTAAGGCTGAGATACATATTTAGTTTTTAAAGCTATAAGGAAAACAAAGGAAGTGATGGGTTTCCAAAGTCTGAAGAGTGGTTACCTCTGGGATAATGTTGGGAGTGATGACGGCATAATCAAGAAAGAACACAGCAGGTAGACCAGGGCACTGACTATGTACTATTTTTAGCCTGGACAATACTTACCTCAATACTCACTTCCGATGGTCAAAACAAGCCACTGAATTTGTTTTATGTATTTTTACATAGGCATTCTTTGTCACAATCAAAAAAAAATTAATGAAGTGACTAAGATCAGGGAGAGAAAGAGAAAACAAAGAACTGTATGGTGGAGACACTAACCCAGTGAGCTGAGCACACTACAACTGATGGAACAGTGTTAACAAATAGGAGAACGGCCATTCCAGGAGCTCTTTGCTGTTAGTTATGTCAGGCTAAATAGTCAATTACTCACAATCCATCAGTTAACAATTCTTGATTGGGTTCCTTCACCTCCTTAAGAGAATCTTTTTTTTTTTAAAGATTTTATTTATTTATTTGACAGAGAGAGAGATCATAAGTAGGCAGAGAGGCAGGCAGAGAGAGAGGGGAAAGCAGACTCCCCACGGAGCAGAGAGCCTGATGTGGGCCTCGATCCCAGGACCCTGAGACAATGACCTGAGCTGAAGGCAGTGGCTTAACCCACTGAGCCACCCAGACGCCCCTCCTTAAGAGAATCTTAACCTTAACTTCATCAATGCATCGTAAGTGACCCTAATTCGCAACATAAAACGTCTTCATTCCAAATTCTTGACAGTAATTGGAATTTTAGTTTTCTCCTGTCTAATCCTTAGTAAATGTCTGTGTAAATGATTTACTAAACTGTAGCTAGCTGTTGTGTGAAGGAAACTATAAAAGAACACACCAATAGAAAATGAAAATCAAAGAAGTCTTAAGGAAACTAGAAAGAAGAGCATTTTAGACAGGAAGAAATACCATGGCAGTCACTGAAAGCATCCACTAGCTTCAATGATTTCAAAGAAATCATTGGTGACCATGGCAAGGACTCTTCTAAGGAATAGAAAGTACAATGGGTCAGACTGCAGAGGAAAGAGAAAAATAGTGAATTTAAGACAAGTGTCAAGGAAAGAAAGAAAGAAAAGGAATCATGGAGTGACAGCTATTTTGCTATAAAAAAGGACCATCTGAACATATTTACATAATGATGACAAAGATTATGAAGGGGAAGGGAGATGGTGACTGACAAAGCACAGGCTCTGAAGAAGCGGAATTGAATAGGTATAAAGTACAGGCGAAAGGATTAATTTCAAAGAGAAGAAAGGATAATTCCTGCACTAGGATGGAAAGAGGCAAAGAAGGAAATGGATACAGAAAGAACTGTAGATATTAAGGTAAAATGCTAAGAAAATTCATGCTAAGAGCTCTATTTTCTTTGGAAAGTAGATGAAGAGAAATAAAGGAAAGGCTGTGAAATGCGGGAAAGCAGAGTGAAAATGAGAACAGTGATACGGGGAAAATATACACTGACTGGGAAACATAAGGTTTCTTGGCAATGCTGGAAGTCTACATGTTTAAGACTACGAATATGTACCAGCCAGAACTACACAGTTGGGTCATTTTCTCTAGCAAACATTCCTCTTCAATTTGGATGAGACAGCCAATGTAAGGAGTTTGATAGGGAGATAAGACAAAAGCAAAGGGGAGCCTTGGAAATAGAGCAAAAGACAAAAATATAGGTGGAACAAAGGACAGGAGAATCTACACTATTCAGATAAGAAAGTGAGGAGGGGGAAGCTAACAGATGGGAAGACAATGGGGGGTCAAAGTGCTGAAATAACCTCAAGAGCTATAGTGGGGAGGCAGGGAAGTAAGATTTTATTTAGAGGCAGAAAAGTTCCCTCTTTCATTCATTCAATAGAGACAGTGCCTACCATGTACCAAGTACTGGTTAGGGTGAGGTAAGTAAGAACCTGCTTTGGAAGCAAGAAACAGTAGTACTAAAGTAAAGAAATAGACAGACATGATAATTTCAGGTAAGCAGCTGATGAAATAAAGAAACCAAAATAGGGAATCAAAGAGCTGTGACAGATGTGGTAGTTAAGAGGATGGTGGGGCTCCTGGGTGGCTCAGCGGGTTAAGCCTCTGCCTTCGGCTTGGGTCATGGTCTCAGGGTCCTGGGATCGAGCCCCACATTGGGCTCTCTGCTCAGCAGGGAGCCTGTTTCCCCCTCTCTCTCTGCCTGCCTCTCTGCCTACTTGTGACCTCTCTGTCAAATAAATAAATAAATAAATCTTAAAAAAAAAAAAAGAGGATGGTGTGTGAGTCAGCAAGGTATACTCATTTTTGTAAGTGACTATACATGCAAAATTTTCTGAAAAAAAGGAAAACTTAGGCTTTGCTGGATGTGAGGTATTCCAAAAGACCTTGAATAAGTAGTGGCCACCATCTCATTTATCGAACCCCCTGGGATCGCCACGACACACAAAGAGTAACAGCTAAATTCCTTTGTACAGATGCAGAAATATTCATAATCTAGCCCTAATCTACCCTCCCAGACTTACTTCACCTTACTTGTAATATCAACATAGTCATCTTCTCAAAGGTGCAAAGACATACCAATTCCACAGTTCCACACCCTTGTGTGAGCCACTACTTCTACCTGAAATACCCTCAATCACCTTGGCAAAACTCCCATTCATTTTTAAAGATCTAGTTTAAATCTCATCTCCATGGAAGGCTTTACTAATTCTTCCAGCAGTTAGTTGCTGACTTCTGAGATTACACTTACTTTAGGTTATAAATCTAATAGTAATTTTCACACTGTACTTTGTTTACACGCAGTTTCCTCCACTAGAAAGAAAAGCTCCCTATAGCCAAAGTTCACTCATCTTTGAATTCCTAGATCTGAGCACATTAAATAAGTAAAACTACATAAGCCCAAGTAAAGGTTAACACTATAGGAACGAAATAATTATTTTATGAGTACATAAATTGAATTATCATAGTCCACAAACGGAAAAAAAAAAAAACACCTTTCTTTAAAAAGCTAAAAAGGCATGTCCATCAACTGAAGAATAAATTTTAAGAAGTGGTATAAAAATGTCATAAAGCTATAAAATGAATATTATATGACTATGAAAAGGATATAAACTACAGTATGGATGAACCCTGACAACGTAACACTAAGTGAAAAAAGCCAGACACAAAAGACCGCATTACCATATGACCCCATTTATATATCTATCCAGAATTAACAAATTCACTGTAACAGAAAGTAAATTAGTGGCTGCTCAAGAGGGGATGGGGGAGTAGAGAGAGCATTTACAGCAATTAATGGGGTTTCTTTTAGGGGTCATAAAATGCTTTGGAATTAGGTTGTGGTGATGGTTATACAATTTTGTGACTATACTGAAAAACCACTAAATTGCACACTTTAAAAGGGTGAATTTTATAGTAGGGGAAATACATCTCAACAATAATAAAAAAGTTAGGACACTTTTCTCCCAAACTTACAAGTATTCTCTGTTAATTCAAAATAAGACTGTATGTAAATGCTAAATTATAAAGCTTATACAAATTAATGTAGAAATCTCTGCAACCTTGTGGTACACAAAGATTTCTTAAACAAGACCCAAGTTACCAAATATGAAAGAAAAAACTGATACATTTGACTACATCAAGATTTAAAACCTGCATATCAAAAGAGATAGTTAAAAAAAAAAAAGGCCAGCCATAAACTGGAAGAAATTATTTGAAATGTGGATAACTGACAAGAGGATTTGTAAACAGCCTGTACAGAGAACTCCTATAAGGCAATAAAAGAATACAATTTTAAAATGGGATTAAAAGACTGCAACATTCCACATAAGGATATATGTGAATGATGAATGATGAATGAATGAAAACACATGGAAAAGATGCTATCACTATCAGTCATCAGAGAAATGCAAATTAAAATGCTCCCACAACC